TGCTGCTCCCCGTCCCACTTTTGATAAAAGGATGAATCAATCAGACTTTAACTTCCAGGGGCATCTTCAGTGTCTGCTATACCACACCGTGCACACCGGGGACAATACAGGCAATATTCCATGGAAAAGACAATACAGCCCTAGGCTATAGTATCTTGTCTGGGTAAGATCCACAGGGCGGGCAAGGATGATGTGAATGCCTCCTGGCCTTGAGCACCCATACCTGCCCACACCTCCTCCTTACTTATCCTGGAACCATGGAGTATCTGGAGGGAGTTGAGGGGATCAGGCAGCTCCTCTTTCTGTGTGAGGGGGAGAAATCCATGTGCACATGGTCTGTCTGTCTCTCTAGGTAGATGTATAGCCCCTGTCAACTCTGAGTTTTTAGGGGCGGTCCCCTGCATGCACAGATCGGGTGTGGAATCCCCCTCCTCCGCCTTGTCTTATATATCTATCTTATAACAAGGCGGAGGAGGGGGATTCCACACCCGATCTGTGCATGCAGGGGACTGCCCCTAAAAACTCAGAGTTGACAGGGGCTATACATCTACCTAATATCTACCTAGATATTTCTTCCCAGATACATTAGCATACAGTTTACAAGCTAAAAGAAAAGGAGTACTTGTGGCACCTTAGAGACTAACCAATTTATTTGAGCATGAGCTTTCGTGAGCTACAGCTCACTTCATCAGATGAATCTGATGAAGTGAGCTGTAGCTCATGAAAGCTCATGCTCAAATAAATTGGTTAGTCTCTAAGGTGCCACAAGTACTCCTTTTCTTTTTGCGAATACAGACTAACACGGCTGTTCCTCTGAAACCAGTTTACAAGCTGAATCTCACTTTGTCATTGTGTGCCCATATTTTCAAACTCTCTGGGACCTTTTGGATTATTTTTGTGTCTTTACCAGCATTTGCAACTTCTTTCAATTTGACAACGTCTGTGAATTTTCCCACCATGCAGGAAGTTTATGTTCTCCTTCAGATCATGAATGATCAGATTTCATATTCAAAGTAACAAACAGAATGGCAAAGAAACCCTCACGGTCTCCTTGGGATTTAGAAAAGGAGCAGAGTACAGCAGCACAAAGGCTGATGTCCCAGGTGGGAGAGTAGGATTTAGGGGTGTGAGTGCCTAATTAACGGGCTTTCAAGAGACTTTCTGAGTGAAATTCACCCAATGCAAAGGGCCAGTTCAAGGTTTATGCACCATTTTCACGGGTTTAAGTGGTGTATAGGCCTCATGATGGGCCTTCTGGACAGGAGTAAATTTCATCTCCTATGCACCTGAGGAAGGATTGAGGGAAATTTGGAAGAGCTGCAGGGATCAGTAGGCCTGATATTGTTTGCTTTATACAGTGTATAGTTAGCTGGAACATGAAATGCACAAGGCAATTGATGCGAAAGTAAGGAAAGCAGTGGTCAGTACAAATGAGGAGGGGCAACACAGGTCCAAATGGCCTACCCACTAGAGACACCATCTTAGGTGCAAAGAGAGATGTTCATGCATTCCAAACACGGAGCTGCAGCAGGATCTGGAGAGATTTGATGCAGGATAAAGCTCTAAACCCTGCAGTAAACAAAGCTTAACAGTGGGAGGAAAAAAAGCAAGTGGATTTCTGGGCAATGGTTCTTGCAGAGCACAACAATAACCTAGTGATGGAGCCACAGGTGAAATACTAGTACGGTATGTGAGCAGTCCCTCCAGGCTGGGCGGCGATTTAGTTGCTGTTGAGGTTGGCAGTAACGAGGTAATATGCTTCAACACAGGTGTGGATAAGACCTCCGCTTTATAGTACTTCATGTGGAAAACCCAGGGGTACTTTAAGAGCTGCTGAAATAGAGAAGCTGCAATATGGAGAAAGGCTCCGGAAGGCAATATGTGACGCACAGCAAAGGGCCTTTTTTATCCCCGGGCTCCCCAGCACTGGCTGCCTAGATTTTTCTGGGAGAGAGAGAGAGAGCTGCAGCTGCCCCGATTTTCCCCAGCATGCTTTCAGCACTGAGCAGCCCAGCCACCCTCCCGCCTAGATTGCTAATGCTCTCACTGGGGAGTGAAAGGTATTCAAAACCCCACCAAACAGGCACCCCAGCGTGACAGGCTGTGCAATGAGGGGGCAAAGAGAGAGCTCTCCAAAATCAAACCGCAGCTCAGGAAGTGCTGGTACCTTCGGAAGGAAATCCACTTTGTGTGCCCACTGAGTCTGAATGAGTCATAAAAACAACGAGGAGTCCGGTGGCACCTTAAAGACTAACAGATTTATTTGGGCATAAGCTTTTGTGAGTAAAAATCCCGCTTCTTCAGATAAATGGAGATGACTCCTCGTTGTTTTTGTGAATACAGACTAACACAGCTGCCCCTCTGATAATGAGTCATGAGTTAAACTCCTCTACCAGGCAATCAGAGCAGTGTTTACAAGAGATCATTGAGATAAGGACATACACAGGGGTTTTAGCTATACATTCGTGTAGGGACCAGAGAAGAAAAACTGAACATGCACAAGAAAATCTGTGATGGTCAGTGAGGGCAGAGGGATGGGGAGCAGAAATGCCCATGTGCCCCTTGTTGAGGGAAACAGGCGGAGCATGGGGTTGCTGTGGCACTGGGGGGAGGAAGCTCTTTTCCCTCCTGCAACTATGTCAGTCACTTTCGAGCTCAGGAACTGAGAAAGCCCACGGCGGCTCCCTATCTATCACTGGAATTTATTAAGTAACAAAATGAGTTTCAAGAGGGAGTGATTGCTTTGATGCTCTGTCAGATTCTCCTCCTCCCCCATCCTGTTTTCTGCAAAGATTTGGAGAAGAAAGGGAGAAAGTGGGCCAGATTCTGCCAGGTGGCAAGCCCCTCGTGAGAGGTGCTGAGCACCCTCGCTTGATGTAAGTGGGAGCTGAAGGTGCTCAGCACCACTCAAGAGGCCAGCAGCACCTCATAGGATGGGGCCTAGGGAGAGCTGAGTGGGACCCTCTCCTGCTAAGCTCTGGAGATGGGCTCCAGCATTTCCTGCTTCCTGATAAAAGAGGCACATTCCTCTTTTCCGAGGCTGCGGTTCCTCTGGCACTTGTTCCCTTTTAAGAATAAATTCCCTTCTCCCCCCTCGAGACTGTTTAAAATACATCCCAAGGGGAATGCCTGGCTTTTAGAAGTTACTCTGACATTTTCAAGCAAAATGATTCATTGATGCATTTTTAAACAATTCTTTGCCAAATAAAGAGCCACACTGAATTCTCCACAAAGAACTCGGCTCTTCTCCATTCTCTGCTGCTCAGACTTAGAATTTCTTTGGCTTTCTTTTCCTCCCTCCCTCCTCTTTCTTCTGCTTCCTCCTCCTCTTCATAAATGGGAAATGAAATATGTGAGAAACACATGGATTCTGCTTAGGGTGACCAGATGTCTTGATTTTACAGGGACAGTCCCAATTTTTGGGTCTTTTTCTTATATCGGCTCCTATTACCCTCCACCCCCGTCCCAATTTTTCACATTTGCTGTCTGGGCACCCTAATTCTGCTGCATCCTTGCCAGTATCCTACAGGCTGGCACAAGCCTGAAGGAATTTGGTCTGCCCAAATCGTGACTGACACTGAGATCCATGGTGGCATCTTGTCAGGGTCCTATGGGCCACATCAACTCTGCATATGTTTTTATCCAATCAAAATAGATGCATACAGCACAGCCACCACATCGGCTTGCCTTTGTCACATCACAACTGTAGAAATCTGCAACTGATCTCCCCAGACTTCCCCCTGAAGTTACACAGAGTGGGGCAACAAAAGGTCGCATTTGGAACCCTACAGAAGACACTCCGGGCAGTGCACCTCAGGGTGCTGCTACTGAGCGCCCACTGGGCCTGGCATTGCAGGGGCTAAAGTGGAGTCCCTCAACAGGGAGCTCTCTGTGGCCAGTGTATGTCTTTTATGGGTGATAGGTGATTAGCTGTTAGGTAGCTGGGTGACAGTGCTCTTTGGCTGGGTAACATAAGCGTCAGCCTGCTGCATCCCTTTTTCAGAGGGGATTATCAGAGCTGATTCCAGAAAGGAGAGAGGCCACAACAGAAAATCACAAAATCCCCATGGTACCGATGTACCTCCCTGCCCCAAAATCCCACAGCTGCACTAAGGGCTGGAGAGGGGCAATGCAGTGAAGTAGTGAAACCCTTTCCAGGCCGGCCTCTGAATGTGGCTAGGAGCAGAGAGAAGGTGGGCAGGTGGGAAATCCGGGTCAGGGACCTGCTAAACCTCACTGGGCCCTGGGCCAAAGGGACAGGAAGAGGAGGGGGAAAGAGTGAGAAAGAAATGGAACAGGGACTACATAAGAGGCTTTTACACACACACACACACACACACACACACACACACACACCATCTCCTTCCTCACTCATTGCATAGACATTTAACTGGAAACCCCAATGTAACCCTCCTGTGAGCTAGGGCAGACTTATTAGCCACATCTGAGGCCCAGAGAGGTTCAGTGACTAGGCCAAGGCCACACAGCAGCAAAGGTGGGAACAGAACCCAGGAGTCCTAACTGTTAGTCCTGTTCTATAGCCATTGGGAAACATCGTCCCCCATATCCAGATCCACTGATGTCTGGATGAAAACAACCCTCTCTTTGAAGGAGTGGTCATGAGAAAAAAGAATCTCAAGTCTCTGGCCCTGCTTTATTAGGCATCAAACACATCTGCTCAGCGAACAGCAGGTGAGGGATGAAATCATTCGAATCATGTCAGTTACACATCACTAGGATCTCACTCACTGCAGTTCTGTTCCCAGCAGGCATCAGGGCTGCAGCTTCTGCACTTTGGAAAAGAAAATCGCCTCTAAGCTCAGTGTTTGAGAGAGGAATCTTGAAGTAGTTATTCCTTTATATTTATTGTAGTATTACAGATTCCAGCCAACAAACCTCATTCTGAGATATGCAAGAAAGAGTTTTGTATTAGACACAGGAATGCTTTGACAAAGTTACATTGCAACCCCAAACACTCGTGCATATACTTCACTGTCCCAAGCTTCTGTTTGACTTAAGCAGCCCCTCCCATGGCCAACCAAATCATTCTTCTGTTGAAAGAAAGAAAGAAAGAAAGAAAGAAAGAAAGAAAGAAAGAGGAAACTATGCACAATAAGTCAGTCTTTCACCCTGAGTGAATGGAGGAGCAGTTCAATTCCTATTTAACTTAATCAGGAGAGGTGGGGGTTGTGCACCAATATATGCAGGGCTGAATATGGTGCAGTATTTGTTCACATATACCCACCCTCCCATCACCATTAGACACAAATCCACTTTTCCCCAGGCTATTGCCCTGAAGTCATGCTGCTTTGTGCTGTGATGGTATCATATCCAACATGGCAAGCAGGCTGTACAAACATAGGAAGTGCCAGACCGGACCTGACCTGAGATCCAACTAGTTCACAATCTTGTCTGCCACAGTGGACAATACTAGAAGGTTCTGAGGAAAGTGTAAACCCCCACAATGGACAGTTATGTAGTACAGTGCCCCTGGGAAAATGTCTTCCTGACCCTCTGCAGTTAGTGCTTGGCTTACGCATGACGGTGTGTATCCCTTTGATATTTTGGTCCTGTCTAGTGTTCTGGGTATCCTTATTCTGAAATCTGCTATGGTCTGTACCTCAAAGATGCCTTATGATGGTGTGTTCCCCAGGCTGATCGTGCTTTGGGTAAAAAAGCACTCTGGTTCTTAAAGTTCAGTTCTTGGATGGGTGACATCTGGGGACCATGCAGATGTGGGAGATACCCTGTGCTCTTTCCTCTGAGCCAGTACTGAGCTTCATCACGTTCTAAAGGACATGACAGTGCTGGAGCAGATGAGCAGAAACCCGAGGACCCCATGATTTGCACACATCAAAGACCTGGTGGCACTTTTTGCAAGAGCTGGGGCATATTGTAATTCTGTAATTTAAAATCCCAAACTCCCATTGCAATTGCGGTGGAATACAGCATCATTCACTTCACGTCCCAGAACTCTCGTGCAATATGGTTGGCTGCTGTTAAACTCGTAAATAGTCACAGCCTTCCACCTGCGAGGAGCCTGCATTTCAGGAGGTGGGTGTGCTGATTCTTGTGTGTCTCAGTTTGGGATGCAAAGAGTGAGAGAAATGCGAGACCATCAGAAAGCAGAGAACCCAGATTCCGGGTCTCAGAGCATCACGCTCACGGCTACGCAGTTATTGGTGGGGATGATTTTCTGCTTGAAGGTGAACATCTTCTTCAGCTCGCTGCGGAAGCGGTCATGCAGCCAGGCGTAGAGGAAGGGGTTGCAGCAGGAGGAGCTCATGGCGAACCAGTGGCAGAGCAGCTGGATGAGCAGGAAGTAGTGCTTGTTGATGAGATTGATGTCTATGTCACGAATGATGTTGAAGACATGGATGGGGAGCCAGCAGATCCCAAAGGCAGCCACCACCAGCACGATGAGGCGGAAGATCTTCCTCTTCCTCACCCGGTCGAACTCTGCCTGGCTTTGCGTTGGGTGACCGGGCACCACGCGGTTCTTCAGCTTGACTGTGATGCAGATGTACGCGAGGGAGACAGCTGAGAGGGGCAGGATGTAGGTGATGATCAGGGTGCTGTAGGCATAGGCCAGGCGCTCCTTCTCCTTCTCCATCCAGAACTCCTCACAGATGGCAAATCCTTCCTTCTGGAACTCCACGTGATACGTGTGGGCGATGGCGGGGGCCACCAGCGTGCAGGACAGCAACCAGATTCCACCCACCACATACACACAGGTGGTGACCGAGATGCGCTTCTTCAGTGGGTGCACCGTGGCATAGTACCTGGAAAGAGAGGGAGAGGGAATGAGAGTGGTGAGTCACAGCTCCCACTGCCGCTTTCTCCTGAATGGCATTATCCCTATAGCTCATATATCTCACCAGTCAGGGCATGGTCCCGGCGTGTGTGCACGTATCAAGACCCAAATAAAGCCTCAGCGATGTATAGGAACTTAGCAGCTCACCCTGAGGGGTCATGAGGGGTCCTCCTGACTGAGCTGGGGGCGGAATCAAGCTGAGCTCACATTACTCTTTGAAGATCTTATTGTTTGCTCTGAACCTGGCAGACATTGAAACTAGCATTTGGGTCCATGGGTAGAGGAGGGTGGAGCAGGAGCAGTAAACAAATGCTCCAGTGACCAACTGCATGGAGAGAGTGGTCACTACCAGCCACACATCCCCCTGCCATGGTCCCAGAGCGTGACTCATCCACAGTGATGTATACTGAGTAATGTAGTTACCTACATTAGCCGCTAGAGACCATTTTACATTAACGTGCACACGTTCTGCTGCTGTCCTTGTGTTCATGTATTTACAACAGTGGAGATGCTGTTTTAACTACACTCTCTCTCTGTCCCACCTTTGAAAGCTATAACTCTGCTCTTAATTTTCACCCAAGCCCCTGGTCCAGGTGTTTCAGGGTCAGTATGGGGTTGACGTTTCCCCTCAGAGGGCAAAGCCCTCTCCAAGCAGACAGCTAGTGCTATGCATCTCTGAAATCCTCTGGATACAGCTCAAGTGGGCCCCACATGGTGCCTAGGCCTTGTGCCGGCTCCTCTGCACAGGATGGTGCGTCACCCACAATTAATGCACAGGGAGTCCATCTGTAAGAGAACAAAGAACGCTACCCCTACTGAACTGTGGAGTCACTGATGGAAAGATTTCATCCTCTGCTGGTGACTACTATAGAGGACCATCTTCCGGTGTATGATTTTAGAGGCACAGCTCCCATCATTGTTAATGAATCCTGGGGCACTGTCCCACAAAGTTATGTCTACTGTATATTTGATCAGCTTCATCGACATTACCTGGGTTAAAGAAATGACAGAGGAAAAGGAAAGGCCAGTCAGTACAGGAGACAGGTATCAAAAGGTACAGAGATGCCCAGGTGGCTTCTCCTATTTACCTCATCCCGAGATACAAGAACAAACGGGCACTTGCTGAAACTAGAAGGTTAAAAATTAAAATACATTTTAAAAAGCATTAAGTTTCTCCACCGATGAAAGGCGAGAGTACTTAATGCATTCCCTAGTTAACCTTTGGAACTCACCATCTCAGTATATAACTGAGGTAAAGAGTGAGTGTGGTAAGAACAGCATCTGCCAGTACTTGCACTAGCTAAGGTAAAATTACAAGGACTATCAGCCAGCTTTCAGGGTCTAAACTGATCACTTGATGGTGTAATAAAGCCATTTCCTGCCATAATATATATATGTATATAGTACTGCTCAGTTGGGGAGAACTACATCTCCTGACGCATCCAGCACTGACAACCATCAGAGACAAGCTATCAGACTCAACGGGCTCTTGCTCTGTTCTAGTTCTACCTTCTGCAGTATGTGCCACTCGTTACAGTCCCTAAAGCGTCTGGTAGACCTTAATCGATAAAACTCCACAGAACCACGGGGAATCAGCAGCCGTCAGCCAAGTAGCAGCACGAGCAAATTCCAGGGCTGAGCACAAAAGCGACAAAAGAGGTTTCCCTTCAGTTCCAAAGCTGTCGTTTTCCAGTTAGTCAAACATTTAATGGCTGCTTTTTCTTATTTCATTAGCATTACATTTCGATTGCATTAAATTAAGCAAAGAGGCCTGACATGAGGTGCCAAATCTGCAGGAAATGACACCCTTCCAGTGCAAAAAAGCCTGAAGTCCCTAAGAGCTGTAATTATCCCAGCAGAAGCAAAGCCACAGAATTAACCCCTAGGAACAGCTTTTATTGTGGAAGAATGAAATAATAGCGGCTTTTCTTTTCCCCATCCTGAGGCCTTGTGTTAAACCGTAGGTGCCTCCAGTCGTCTCCAGAAACACCCGGCCCCTCAGAATGCTCCTGATCAACCACCCAGGCAGCCCTTTGTGTAAAGTGACTCTGAATCATACTTGGGAGCTCCAGGCAACATTTTTTAAAAGACTAAAATGAAAAAAAATCACCTAATTAATCTCTTTTCTCCTCCTTCACTAGGTGCATTGTTTTCATTTCCTCGCTATTTCTTATGGTCAAAGACTTGTAAGAGCTGAGCCTCCTGCTAGCCATTTTAAGTGACTAAACTGGTTTTATGTAGCACCTTTCACATACTGGGTGTTCTGCATTCAGCACTAACTCACACTCAGCCCCCCCCCCCCGACTGTCTGTCTATGTACGTATCCATACCTCACTCTTTTCCTCGATGTTTGAACCTATGTAACTGATCGACATTCACTTTCGGGAAAGCATCTCGATTCAGGACAGCCCTTAAGCATGTGCTGAACTTTAAACATGTGCTGAAGTCCTATTGACGTCAATGAGACTTAAGCCCACACTCAACTTTCGGCACATGGTTATGTGGTGCCTTGTGTCAGGGCCAGAGAGTTGAAATTATCTAGCTGTGTCCCAGCCTATATTCCAGCTAGTAATAAATGCCCCAATTAGATATTATTCAAATTATCTGTATTTTTATTATGACCTTCTTATCCCTTTATTTGTATTTTATTACTAGATTGCACAAAACATTCAAGATTATAATGGAAAATAGGGACTGGAAAGGAGCATCTGAAATTAAACAAACCCTCAGCAGAAGTTTGCATAGCAATTGAACTGATCTCTCTGATAATAAACCTACATGTGATGGATATTTAATATTTTTTATAATTTATCATTTATTTTGTCTAGACAGGAAAGCAAGCTTGCATCTGTCACATGATCTTCCCAAAACCAGGATTCCGATCAATCTGTGCCATCAAACAAGCGGGATAGCCATATACAGAGCTAAGCTCAGGCTAGACCTAGGCTTATAAGAGATGTGCGTTCCCGCTTAACTTTACACACAAGTAGCTCATTGAGATGAAGCACAAGCCTGTCTTTGCAGGATCAGAGCCTTACCCCTGATTCCCTTCTCAGAGGTGCAAGAGAATTCTTTAATTCTAGTGTAAATGGGACCTTTGAACTGAACAGTACCTGACCATTGCATTGGCAAAGGTGATGCTTTGACACAGAATTTGAAGGTTCTGTGACTTGCCCCATTCACAGAGTAAATATTTTAAGGCCATTTCATTCTGGATGCTGTTGGGCTGTGATATGACCAGTTTCTCACAGAACGTATACATCTCTTTAGGGATGTAAGGGTGTGAAATTCCTCAACTCCCAGCCATGCAGAAAGCCAGTGCAAAGCCGGTGAACCACCTAAGTCCTACTTATTTTAGGACTCATGTGGGTCTGGGGTGGTGAATAGGCTTTGTGCTGCCGCTTTGCACATAGGAGAATCTCATCCTATCTGAAAGAGTCCCTTTGGAAAGGGCAGCTAAGTGTTTTAGCTAAATCCTTCTGATCCACTATAATTTCCTAACCAACCCTTTGAATTTAAGGGTACTAACTGGTTTCGTAATTCCTGGGAAACTCCAAAGACTGGATGGAGGAAAATTAACACAGAGGCCTGGTTTGATTGAACAATAGGAGCCTGATTCACCACTCCACTCCATTAGCTTCACCCTGACATGACTCATTTGGAGTTAGTGAAGTAACACTGGCATGAAACATGTATAAGAGAGTGGTGAATCAGGCCTTATGTTGATAAATAATATGCAGCCAAGAAGACTTACGGTGATGGGAACTTGAGAAACATCTAAGATGACAGACAGAGACAGACAGGTATTTTCAATAATGACATTTTCCATTCCAAGCTAGTGGTGCCTTCTATACCTTGCAATGTACTGCAGAATCACTGCTTTAGGGAAGGAAAGGGAGTAGTTAAAAGTAGGGGTCCTTGAACACGTAGCCCTAAGTGTGCAGTTATAAAGGGGATTGTGAATGCTGTAGCTCCTTTCATCTAGATTCTCCTTTAACATGGAGGAACAGCCCAACCCTAAATGCAAAGAATAGAGTTACAGAAATTCAAGATGGGAAAGCCTTATTGGGACATAACTAGTCCAGCCCCTCATCAGAAAATGCAGGATCAGACCAAACAACACAGTTACCAAGTATATTTAAGTCTCACATAATCAGATTTCCAACACACCCCTTGGCAGGTCATCCTACCTCCTAAGAGATCTGTCAGAAAGTTCTTTCCTGCTAGTCCAGCCTAAATCTTCCCTTTGTTCGTCTAATTTGCTTTGCCTCCACTGCACCTGTTTTGTTCTGCCAGCGTCTGAGTCATGTTTGTATTAAAGATGCTCCTTGTATCTGCGGCTTAGTTTTGGAATCTGCCTATTTCTTTCCATTCCCCACTGGGACTGCAGCCTTCCCTACAAAAGTGACATCACTATGGAAACACAATGTTAAAAAACCCAAAGCCCAAAAAAACAAGCCCCAAACCAGATCCCATGTCTGTCTCCATTTAGGAAGGGATTGTGCCTGCCATTTGGGGGTCAGAACAATTTGTCTAGCACAGATTTGTATGAGAAGGTATTAATAACCTGAAATGAGCAGAAATGATACCTAGTGCTTTACACACCCAGCAGTCAAGGACATCACTATTTAGTGGCACTGAAATCAGAACAAGAGCAATAGGAAGTTCACTCCCAAACTAAACACACATACATTTCCAGTCCCATGCTGGCTGCTTAGCCCTCCTGGTCAGGTGAAGAGATGTGAAATTAGCTTATTTTGCAACACAGCAGGCTACAAGTTGCAAGCATGGGGAACATTTTATGATCTCTGCCTATCGGAAAGAAGCATGGGGCACAAATATGCCTCACACAAAGAGAAGGAGATTGAGTAGCATATTCCTGTTGTGTTTGCATCACAATTTGGAACCTTCTGGCATGATGACACTAGTTTAATCTTCACCATGCCATGGCATCTCTCCAGCCCTGAT